TGATAGCAGTTTTTAGGGCTGTCGTATTCCAATGTCATATTCTCGACCCTTATATTCTCGCAGCGATAATAACCCACCACGTTGAACGATATCAACAAAATGAGATATACTACCGCTAATGACGTACACACAATATTGATGGGAGATTTTGTACGTAGGTTTGGTCCGCCTGTGGAACCCAGTGGCGCGAGTTCCAAGTTTTCGTACTCGAGCGAATAGATGATGGCAAGATTTGATAGCCCTGCCAGATTCCCCACTTGTGTCAGGTGGAAGTAGGACATCTTTTGGGACCTGATGATACCCGCTATGAGGATACCCATTCCGGAAATGAGCTGTTGGTCAGCCAAGGCCGACAGGATTTTTTGAATCTTGGGATATTTCTTTTCTCTCCAAGCCTTCCATGCATTATCGGGAAAGATGAAGTTGATAGGGTTGCTCGCGCGCTGAAGGATAAAGGCAGTGATGACGAGGAACATGGAGCATAGCGCTGTCACGAAGAATGCACATATGACGCCCCAGCCGTCGATATCTGGGTCTGCGGGAATCTTTGTTTCAGGGGATTCGAAATAACATTTGATGTTGGAGACAAAGTGGCCCATATGTCGTTGGGATTCGGTCGGCTCCAAGAGGAGGTGCGCGACCAGCAGCGGTGCCGGACCGTGGACGTCCTCTCGATATTAATGCGTCATTATGTTTTCTATTCGCAGAGTGTAGCTACCTTTCGCTGATTTAGTATAGATATACAAATGAGATACGATGAATACTCACGACTCGACCCGACCGTTATAGCGAACCCTGAAATTTCGACAAGGCCGAATAGTAGCTGGTGTCTGGTCGCTCTTCGGAGATCTTTTATCACTATCCTTTACATTTTTATAGTATCTCTGAAGGGCCTAGATGGCTAAAAATGTGGTGGGGGATAAGGAGAGACATGTGACAGGATCAACACGACTCGACGGGCCCGGCGGGTGTAGCCCAAATACGACAAACTCTTCCAAAGTTCCGAGAACGCTACTAGGAACTGTTACGGCTCTGCCTCATGATATAAGATGACTAGTCTTTAGAATTTAGGGATTCTTCATTGACCGTCCCAGCGGTGGCCATTGAGTCAGTGGTGAGGCTGGGGGACGGACCAGTTCTGCGCCTAACCCAATCCGACATAAAAGCCCGTCAGAAACTCGTCGACCTCGTTACATTCGACTTTGCCTCAACGTTATCTCTATATCATCAAAGGTGTGTGCGACATGGCGTCGGTTGTACGTGGAAACATCAGAACGGTATCATGCCTTTCGGTATGCCACATCTTCTGTTGAACCTCCAGGGCTGCAAGACTATGTCAA